CTGTGACAGAGTAGAGATTTAAATGAGAAATTCACTTTCTTCCTGTTTTTCTTTTAAATGAAAATTTTTATTTCCATTGGTTTACATTACTATAAAAATTTTGGGAATACTGCTTCATACCTCATATATGTGTATACATCTCATTGCCCCCTCTGATATCTCCACTATCAAATTGACCCCACCCCACCCCACCCCAGCTCTTCCCTCTAACCTCTCTGCTCCTCTGGTAACCACCACATTTTTCACAAGTTATTTTGATGTGATTTGCTTGTTCACTTACTTTGGTTCATATTCCATATATGAAGAGAAGCTATCTGGTAATTGTCTTTTACTTTCTAACTTCCTTCCCTCAGCATGATCACCTTGCATTCCATCCACATTGTTGCAAAAGGCAATATTTCATTTTTTCAAATAGTTGAGTAGTATTCCCTTGAATATATATATTGCTTGTTTGCTGTTCTTTCTTTACCTGTCTATTGAGTCACATCAATTCTCATTTGGTTGTTTCGATGCTATAAATATAGAGTTGTAACTAAAATACTTTTGAATTCACACTCATATTCTCCATATTCTTTGGGTAAATATCTAAAACTAGTATTGTTGGGTTATATATTATTTCTATTTTTAACATTATAAGGATTTTTATATCTATGATTTTCTATAGAGGCTTCACCAATTTACATTCCCACCAACAGTTTATGAGTTCTTTTTTTCCACACTCTCACCAACACATGTTACTTGCTGTCTTTTTGATATAGGCTGTTCTCACAGGTATGAGATGGTAGCTCATTGTGGTTTTGTTTGATGGTTTTTTAATATATATTATTTAAAAACATTGTTCATCCCTGTACAAGGTTTACTTTCTCCTTTCAGGTGTAGCCCCCAAAAAATTCCCACCACCAATTCGCCCATGAACCATAGTCCCTTTTGCTCTTCCCTCCCCTATTTTGATCCTTCCCCTCTTCTCTCAGAGGGATCAGAATATCTCTGATTTATAGTTGGCTGATGATTTTGTGTTTATTATTATTTCCTTATTTTTGTTTTTATTATTATTTCTTCCTGATCCCTTATTTGGTTCCCCTATATTCCTCCTATAAGTGGAAACCATCCACTTTTTTTCCTTTTTCCTTCTGGCTTATTTCACTGAGCATCATCTCTTCCAGCTCTCTCCATGTTGCTGTAAATATTATGTTTATCTTTTTTGATTGCTGAGTAGTATTCCATTGTGTATGTATCTTCTTGATCCAGTCATCTATTTTTGGGCATTTAATCAGATTGTTTTGATATTTTACCTATTGTAAATAGTCAATATAGGGGTGTAGATATCCTCTTAAGTTAATGTTTTTGTGTCCTTTGGATAGAGTCCTAGGAGGAGTGGAATTGCTGGCTCATATGGTAGTTCTATTTTTAATAGTTTTGAGGTCTTCCACACACCTTTCCATAGTGGATGGACCAGTTTGCATTCCCACCAGCAGCGCAGGAGAGTTCCTTTTTCTCCACATCCATGCCAATATTTATTGTTACCAGTTTTTTGTTTTTGTTTTTTAATGTCATTCTCACTAGTGTAAGGTGGTATCTCATTGTGATTTTGACTTGCATTTCTCTGATAAAAAGTGAAGGTAAGCATTTTTTCCTGTGCCAGTGGCTATCTGTATGTCTTCTTTGGAGAAATATCTATTCAAATCTGTCCCCCCTTTTTTTACTGGTTTGTTTATATTTGTCAATGTTGAGTTGTACCAGTTCTTTCTCTTTCTTCCTTAACAGTTTTTCTATTTTAAAGAGAAGTACATTCACTATAAGAGCCTAAATCCTTCCATTAACTCTCAAACTATCCCAGAGGTCCATACCAAAATTTTAGAACAAAAATATTGAGGTGAAGTGGAAAACCAAAAATTATTGCTCAATATCAGTCTGGACAGCAACTCTTACTGTTGCACTTTACTGTTATGAAACTGGGATGCAGCACTAGTCCATAAGGAGTGCAACTCCAACGGCACAGAGTTTATGTCGCTAACAAAATATCTGAGTGCTGTAATGAATTCAACTCGAGAAATGAATAGTTCCTTAACTCAGTATGATGCATGTATAGGGTTAGAGGTGGAGGGCATGCTTAATCTGGTAATCACTTATAGAAAATGGTAGGTAATTTCTCTGGGAAGAACAAACCCAATTACTCATAATGCGCCATACTGGGCAGTGCTCAAGAGAAGAGACACCACTGCACTAATTTAGGTCTGGCACACAGCCACATTCTCTAGATGATTACCTGCCTTTCCCCCCTTTGATGCCAACCACCTCCCCCAAAGTAGTGAGATAATAATGGTTGATAGGACCATCTAAGAGATAGCTTAATGGTAGGTATACCTTAGTCCTTAAAGTCACTTCTATGTTGAGCGCTAGTACATATAGTTGTGAACCTCAGTGTGCCAATGTTCTGTTTTGATATGATTCTTAAAGTTGGAGCCTCCCCGTTGGCCTGGAGGTTAAATCTCAATGCACTCTCACCACTATAGCCTAATTGGATCCCTGGCCAGGAACCTGACCCACATATGAAATGGCAGCCCTCTCCTGTCTCACCTGCTGCTCCCTCAGCAGTGTATTTCAGCAGATCTGCTTGTTCTGCTCCCTGCTCTCTCTGGTGAATCCCTCTGCACCTATGGCCTACACCCCAGTTCTTCTATGCATAATAAATCTTTTTTTTAAAAAAAAATAAGTTGTGGTGAACCCAGAGGTAGTAAACACAGCAGTCTTTCACCCTTCTGATCATATTTAGTACCTGGCCCACCTATATAGCCTTGCCAGATGTCTAGTGGAGGTATGCCCTTTGTTGCCCAAGATTCATTAATGACCACAACTGATAACTTCCTCAGAATGGCTCTTGCAAAGTCTCAGAGAAATTGAAGTTAGACAACTCTATTTAGTTTTTCTTTTCCTGGGAGCCTTCATCAAAAAGAGCCAAAATTGCTCTTTCTATACACTTAGATATGTTACCTACTCAGTTTTTATATTAACCACCTTTCACATTCATTTACAAATAAAGTTGATAAAAATCCTTAGGGGAAAAAGTGTGTCATACTAAGTTCAAGATGTTAACATTGATTGTACTTACAGAATTTAGGTACTTAGACATTCCCAAGATATTACTGAGGTTTCAAGGATTGACAACTAACAACCTAAACTGATATATTTAGTACCACCAAAGCCACTACCTTCCGAGACATGAATTTCACAAGGTTTATATAATTTAATAACGAATTAAGGTTAAATTTTAAGGATGAATACTGAAGCTATTTTATTGATTTCATAAAGTTCCCCAGGAGAGAGGATTAGGGGTAATTGAAAGTAATTTAATGAAGATATCAAGATGGAGTCAGCAGGCTGGGTGGACAGGGTAGAGGGGATCAATGTGGTGGTGTGTTGGTACTAGAACTTTGTGGGTAAGTGAAGCACGGCAGTGTTAAGTTGTATTCCCCAAAGTATATAGTTTTATAAATGAATGGTAAACCCATAAAATCTGATTCTAAAAAGGGGGCCTCCCCGGTGGTGCAAAGGGTTAAGTCTCAGCACTATAAAGCTACTGGCAGACACTGTATCACATGTTCAACTCCCAGCCAGAGAACTGAACCACATGGCACGGAAGACCTCTCTTGTCTCACCCACTATTCCCCACAGCAGTGTATTTTAGTAGATCTGCCTGTTCAGCTTCCCACTATGTCTCTATTGAATCCTCTGTGGCTTAATACGCCAGCTCTTGTATGCATAAATAAATCTTTTTTAAAAAATATGATTCTAGGGCCCTCCCTGGTGGCACAGCAGGTTAAAGAACAGCAGAGAAGCTAAAGCCACTTCTGCATGAGTTCGAGTCCCGTCTGCCCGGGAGGTGACCACATGGCGTGGCAGACCTCTCATGACCCACCTGCTGCTCCCCTCAGCAGTGTACTTCGTAGATCTGCCTGTTCTGCTCCCCACTCTGTCTCTGGTGAAGCCTCTGGCCGCCCCTGAGCCTCTGGCCTGTACCTCAGTTCTGTATGAACAAATAGATAAATCTTTAAAAAAAAAAAATTCTAAAAAGGAAGTGGACATAATTAAGAAACCAACTCAAGATGGTGAAGTAAACCAGTGATGTCCAGTAGTCCCTTCTATAATGATGGAAATGTTGTCTAAATTGTCTAATACCATAGCCATTAGCTACATGTAGCCATTGAGCACTTATGATGCTTTTAATGTGACAGACCACTGAATTCTTAATTTACTTAAACCAATTAAGTTAGGTAGCCAATATGGCTAATAGCTAATATTGGACATTGCTCAGGTCTAGTAGAGAGTAGTTACAACTAGGCCTGAAGGAAGGAACAATGACAAGAGTGATGGAGAATTAGAGCTATTATAAGAGAGGATGATATGATAGGAGCTATGGTATCTAACAGAATATAGCCACTGCCAACTTGTACATCGTAGGGGGATACCTGGAATACCTTAACTCACTCTGCCAACCCCACCCCCCATCCCCTTCTGGTGCCTTTAATGAGTAGAACTCACAAGAAACTAGACAAGAAAGCTCACTGATGCAGTCCTTAAAGGTCAGAGTCTAGGAACAAAGTGTAGTAAAAGGTGGGAAGTAAATCTGGAGCAAAAACATTGTTAACATATAAAAAGTTGAGGTGTTAGCTGTTTGGTTTATTGGCACATTAAAACCCAAATGAATATAGAACCAGTGACCAAAAAAAACAAAACAAAAGCATGTTTTTCAATAAAGCTCTATGTGTCTTGTTAAAGCTATTCCAGAGGTACCGATTGCACTAAATAGCAGTTTTAACAAAACTGCAAATGGGTTCATTTCAAGCTTCATCCATGAAGAATGAGATCAAAACTAAGTCCCTTCAACAATATTCAACCTAATATTCTTACCAAGGATCTACATGAAATCTTTTCCAAGATACCATCTCAAGTCATGAAACCTGGGAGTGGGAAGTTTTTTACTTGACTAAGGCTAAGAGCCATGATAATTCAATGAATAAATTTATTTAGAAACTGTAAGGAAAACCAATAAATTAGACATAGGAACCCAAAGGCCTTCAATGCCCACTCTAGCACTGTGTAACCATTCTCTTTGGATAGGTCTATTTATGCTTAATTTTGGTACTATCTCTCAGAGTGTCATTATATCTTAACAACCTTTCTTATTAGATAGTAGTGTTTGGGGGGAGGGGAGTGGTAGCAGCAGCATCTTTAGGCAGAGTCAGCTCTTATTTGCGGAAACTTTGTCTTCTTTAGTAGGGACTAAACATATTAAAAGTCCATTCCTTGTTGCCCAGCACTTAAGGAAAAAAGGTCTAATGTCACTGGGTGAGGGTTGAAGTAGGTGCCAAAGGAAAAGCAATTTCCACCACCTCCGAGGAGCAGGAGTTCTTGCTCTTCAGGAAGAAGGATACTGGAATGGTTGTGTAACATTAATGGCCATGGCACACATGTTGTATCAATCTGATACTCAGAGCTCAACCCTGTAGTCAAATTAATAACAGTCACTCCAGGAACTGAGGAGGAATGAATCCAGACCCCTCCAACCAGCAGCAGATTTCCATTGAACACATGAGCTGTGTGGGAGTACCTTGGCGTAATGGGAGGCCGAATGACTATTGATTCCCAGAGGAATCCACAAGAGACTGGTTTCAGAAAGAGTACAGAGCTCAATGGCACCTCAGAAGCACCCAGACCTCCAGCAATAAGAGCTCCTCCTTGCCAACTGCAGGCACTATGGGAATGCCGGCCTTCAGGTGCTTCCCCCTCCACGGGGATCCTGACCCAAGTCATTGTCCCCACATGTAGGAAATGCCAGTCACTTAGTACAGGTTTTACAACACTTCGACCCCCATACACAAATAAGTATTTCTGACTCTCATAGGACACTTCTGTTGTTGAATGCCGCCAACATGACAAAGTGAAATCTTCTGGGCCAGTGTTTGTTACAGTTACACTTAGGTCTTCATTGCTATTGTCCTCACTCTTAGAAAGACAAATTTGGAGAACTGTCAAAGCTGGAGTTACTGGGGACAGTCTCCCCCCCAGAACCAGCACATGAGTATCTGATAGTCTTGTCATAGTGTGATAAAGGCGTCCATCCCATTGTTTCCCAGTTCCCCAATTACTTATGTGGTTGCTTTTCCATTCACAGGATCTTGAGAGCAAGTGAAACCTGCTCACCCGGCAATGGCGCCCTTCCTCCTCTCCAAATCCTCCAGTACTGAGAATAACGCCTGGGCGCAAAAGGACAGAGGCATGGCCATAGCTCTTAAGATTTGGTCCCTGGCTGTCACTGGTGACTAAACTGGCAGGGAAGACCCCTGAAGGTGGGGCAGGATCTACCCCAGGAAACACCTCTGAGGATAGGAACACCAGAGTTTGGGGAAAAATGTCTCCCCTAGAAGCGGCCAGAATGAAGTAGTGGGAGCACTTCAAATGCCACTCCTCAAACTCATCAAAAGGTTCAAGATTTTCCATGCGTTGGCGTTCTTCCGCGGGTAGAAAGCAACGATAGAATTCATTCAGGTCCATAGCAGTGCAGGCAGTCCAGCCAGCCTGAAGGAAGCGGTGCTGCTGGGCCTCCACGTCGGGGAAGCGGTCAAGGCCATGTAGGGGAGAATTGAGCTGCTGAAAATGCTGCTGCATGACTTGGCCAAATGCGTCAAATGGCCTCATCTGCTCATAGATCACAAAAAGGGCATTAGGAAAACGCTGTGCCGCCCAGGTGATGAGGACCGCGGCATGATCCGGCTCAAGGTAGGTCAGCACGGCCTCAGCCAGGAGCAGCGTGGGTGCAGCGAAGTCAAAGCTCGCTGCGGTCAGAGCCTGATCCAACCGCTGCACTTGCCTCAAGTCCAGGCCCAGGATTCGATAGTCGAAGCTCTCAAAGCACAGGGCTGAATCAGCTGGGTCCCCGCTCTGGCATGGCCCGGTTAACGCACACAGTTCCGGCGTGTCTCGAACCGTCTGTGCTTTGCGCCGAGCGACGTCTGGAAAATCTACCTCCCAGACTGCAGCTCTGGTCAGGCGGCCCGCAGTTTTGAGGCGAAAATACAGCGAATCGGAACCAGCGCCCAGGGACAGGATCTGGGCGGCGGGCGCGTCGGGGGCCGCGCACGTCCGGTCCAGGAAGGCGCGCACGCAGTGCCGCACGGCGCGTGCGCGGACGTAGTAGCCGCGGTGGATGAGCGGCGCGCGGCGCGCGGTTCCGGGAACGAGCAAAGCGGCAAAGGCGTCGCGCACGTACCCGCGGGCGGCAAGGGAACTCTTGCTCAGGGCGCTGCTGTCATTGGTGTTCTGGACAGCTCCTGCCCGACGCTGGCGGCTCCGCGGGCCCATGGCCAAAGAGACCTAGAGGGGCGGTCTTGCTGCGCGGTGAGCTCCACTTTTCGTTCTGTAGTACCCACCTCGAGGGCTTCTTTAGGTGCTACCAGCCCTGTCTAACATTCCTCTTCCGCGGGCAAGTGTGCGTCACTTCCGGGGCAGCGCAGCTTGCCAATCAGAGTCGAGGAGAGTAGCGCTGGTTTTGAAAGTCCATCACCTTTGACCGCCCTCTAATTCCCTGAGACTCCGTTTTAGCTGCAAGACGGCGCGCCGCTGCTTGTTCTGGGCGCGTGTGTGGTGCTAGGGAGGCGCGGGTTGTCACTGGTCTACAAGCTTTTCTTTTTGGAGGGGAAATTTAAGCTTCAGTCGAGTCAGGTCACCAAATTTTTAGAGGCTATTCTATGGAGACTGATTCCTCCTAGACATCCTTGGACAATAGGGTCTTCATTGAGTGTCTGGTGGGGCAAGGTAGGGTTAGGACTACTGACAGACAGGGACTGGATTAGTTCTTCGGATGCTAACTATTGGTAACTACTAATTTATTTAATGTTTCCATTATTACCAAAAAGGTGCTATTTAAATCTGAAAACAAGTCAGTGAGGCCAGGTGCGAAATGAAAACTTTACAGAGATTGAATCACCCAATAAATGTTTTCCCACCCATACAAGCTGTAGGTTCCCATGTGTTTCTGGCTCTGTACTAGTCTGACAATAAGTAAATCTCTCAAACTCTTTTTCTCAACTGCCTAATGACATTCCCCTCCACCTCAGAATTATTCTATAGTAATTTCTCCAAGGGAGGGAATCCTACAAGAGAGAGAAGTATGCCCTCTCATATGGGCTGAATCTTGGGAGGTTTTGTTGTACCTTCAGGAGTATGTTCATTGTGACAATACATCAGGTGCTCTAGAACTTTTAAGGGTGTTTCCCAGTCACCCTCTGGTAAAGGCAAAGAGGAGAATCATAACATAAACACAGAAGATGGTGGTTTTTTTTTTTTAAGATTTACTTATTTGTGCATACAATAATGGGTACAGGCCAGACATGGGGGGAAGGGACGGAGTGAGAAGATTCATCAGAGACAGAGTGAGGAACAGAACAGGCAGATTGACTGAAATACACTGCTGAGGGGAGCAGCCGGCCGGACAGGAGAGGTCTGCCACGCTTGTGGGTCCCCTTCTTGGCCGGAAATCCAACTCTTGCTGCAGTGGCTGCAGATAGCTTCATAATGCTGTGCTTTAACCTTTTGCACCACCAGGGAGGGTCCAGAAATTGATATTTTAAAGATGATGCATTTTCTCTGCACACTGTATCCAACTTATTTCTCCTTCTCAATACATCCAATTTATTTGAGTATATTGCATCTTGACCCACTATCTGACTGTCCTATTATGTTCAATATTAGTTAGTCAAATACTGAGTGCCTGTGTTTCCAACCAGAGGATCTGGAGCACTGCACTCTGTAAAAATTAGAATCAACTTCCAAACTTTTGAATTAGTTAAAATAGAACTCCAGCTGTCTTTAAGAATATCTAGAAAGAAGATTCCCTGACAATTGATGTTGCAGTGATAGATTCTGGTGTGGAGGAAATTTTTGTGGCTTAAACAGACACACATGAAATTGTGATATTCACAAAAGATATAGAATCTGGTGCACCAAGTTCAGTTGATTTCCAATCCATAAATGTTATCTTTTTTAGGCCTAGCCCTGCACTTTGGAGGAGGATCAAAGGTTATTTCAGCTAGCTCCTTCTGAATTCTTTTAGCATTCGTGGTTAACTTATCAGGATTCTACTAGAGAGTATGGAGTTCTTAAGGAGGATAGCAGATGGTTTTCTTCTGGTTCTTCAGAGTCTGCAGATCTGGGTCTCACTCATTCATATCTCAATTACTACTGGTTTTGGGGTTCATCGGACCTTCACCTATCATTGAGAAACTTGGTGAAGTTATTTTTTGGAAAACTGACTTTCCTTCCTTGCTATTCTCCTGTGTATGGCAGGCACCAATTCTAGAAAGAAGCCCTGAGTGATACTGAAGTAATATCCACACAGGAAAGCTTCAGATCGGGAAAAGTAAAGGTTAATTTTGTTCTATCTTTGTCCTGTTGGGGTTTTTAGATGACCATCAGATTTCAAAATCAGGTGTTTGGGAGTTTTCACCAATAGAAAACTGCTTCTAGAGGTATTTGAGAAATTTAAAAATCATTAATTTGGATTTGGTAACTTCTTGTGGGGGTTAAGATGGAGGGAATGAGATGACTACACATATGGTTGCCTTGAGGCAAGTATAATGAAGTGGTTAAGAGCATAAGTTTTGGAATCCAGCCAATTTAGGTTTGGATAATGGAGATTGAAGATTTGAATCAGGATAAAGTTCGATAATTGAAAGTGTCACTTTAGTGTTTTAGAACCCAGTAGTGATCTTTTAGAGCAGTTTATGCTTATGGAGCATTAGGATATGCATAGCATATCAATAGCAGTTTATGCTTATTGCTTATGGAGTGGGAGATAGTTAAATGGAAGCTTAAGCTCTTTGTCTCCTTGGAATGCTCTGTGAACGAATTGTTCAGTCAGAGCATAGTTATTTTTGATCAAAACAAGTCAGATTTTACAATACAGAAGTATATTTGACCCTTGAATGATGTGGGGGTTAGGAGCACTAGTCCATTCCCCTCCATCCTCCTAAGCCCTACCCTCACACCCCACCCCTGTCAAAAATCCAGGTATAAATTTGATTCTCCAAAACTTAACTACTAGTAGCCTGCTATTGACTGGAAGCCTTACTGATAACATTGATAAACACATATTTCATGTTATATGTGTTATATACTGTCTTATACTACAGCAAGCTAGAGAAATATGTTAAAATCCTTTTTTTTTTTAAAGATTTTTTTATTCATACAGAACTGGGGTACAGGCCAGAGATGCGGAGGGTGAGAGGATTCACCAGACAGAGTGGGGAGCAGAACAGGCAGATCGACGAAGTACACTGCTGAGGGGAGCAGCGGGCGGGTCAGGAGAGGTCTGCCACGCCATGTGGATCTCCGGGGCAGGCGGGGAGCGAACTCATGCGGAAGTGGCTTAAGCTTCTTAGTGCTGTGCTTAACGCTGCACCACCAGAGAGGGCCTGTTAAGAAAATCTTAAGGAAGAGAAAATAGATTTATGTTATGTTAGTTTTTGTTACCTGTGTACAAGAAAATCCTCATGAAAGTTGACTAGTGCAGTTCAAACTCATCTTTTTCAAGGGTCAACTATATATATCTCCCCTTTAATCAACTGTGTATCAAAAGAGGTAGGCGCTGGGTGTGTGGAGCATCCTGTGACTGCCACCAATGGCGAGAATTTAGGAATTTCAGAAGATTGGATCTGAGATCAAAGGCCTTGCTTTTGACCACCGTATTTGGAGGGTCTCTACAATATTGCCAGTTGAGTTTTACTAGTGCTATTGGTGTATTCATTTAAACCCATGTTTGAGGGTGATAGGTACAGTGAAAATATTGCCAGTGGACTAAGCTTGTCAGATCTATTCAGTAAAATGAGTTCCTTGATTACAGTAAAACTCAGGAAGGTTCCTTCCCCAAGTTGGTGTAATTATATAGTCTTTTCCCAAAGGACTTGACCACAGAAGAGGCAGTTACCTGTTTACAAAGGAATGTCTCAGTGCAGTGAGAAAGCCTAGCTAAAACATTTTTATATCTTTGAGGTGGGGATAGTAGCTGTTAGGAAGTTCAGTTGTCTGTCTGACTTCAGATGCACCATTAGGCTATTTGAAATGTACAGGAGACATGTGAATAGGTTTATGAATAGGTTTAGTAGCCTTATTACTATTTCTTCACCCATATTTGTCTATGCATGCTATCATTTTATGAGTGGACAAGAACCATAGTTAGGAGTTAAAATTTCAGTCTGATTAGATTGGGTTGTTTTTGGTCCAAACTAGAGCTTTCTATTGCTCTTGTACCATCCTTTACTAAATTTCCAATCCTGTTATTCTTTTTCTGGGTCTAATTGTTGGGCCTCTCTGACCAGTTTTTCTGTTATCAATTAGAGAAATGTCCCCTTAATACAATCATAGATACCAGCCTCCTATTGGAAGCAAGATGACTTCCTTTTTCTGCCTAGTGTCAATGTAAGAATGTCTGGAATCTTAATAATAGCATATCTACCATTAGTATGTTTGCTGTTTTGCCTGTGGCTAGGATACAGGCCTGCGTGAGAGTGTATAATTTGGTTTGTGGGGATGTAGGAGCCAAAGGCAAAGGTGTCACTTTAATTACATCAAAGCGTGTTAATATTGCATGTCCAGCACATTTACCTTTTTTACCTTTTAATTACAAACTATCAGTGATGTCAAACATCACCAGTGAACCATGAGATAGATGTCAGCATTATCCAAAGGAAGTTTTATAAATCATCATGAGAATTGAGGAGGTAATCCATTGGTGTTAGACAGTTGTGAGAAACTATAGGTAACAGCAGGAAGAAGAGTTTCTGGGCTGTGGTTATTACAACATGGGAGAGTGTTGTGGGGAGCAGTCAGCAAATGGTTTTCAGAGGAGGTAAGACAACTGACTCAAATGTTGAATGATAATTTAGGATGACTTCTATTGCATGAGGTATAAAAAAGATTTAGAGGCAATTGCAATGATGACTTCAGTGGGCTTCCCGCAAGAGTACTGGCAACAGTCACGCTAAGGCAAGCCACAGGGTCCACCTGTTGGCTATGATACCTTGCAGGTGGTCTTCATGCTTTTAGGTAATACCTCAAGGGCATCTCCTTCCTTTTCATAAACATAAAGGAAGAAGGGAATCTGATCATTGGAATGTCCAAAGACAGGTTGGTTTGTGAAACTCCCCTTTAAAGCCATGAAAGCCTTTTGTTCATAGACTATTGATTAATTCTGGGAAGAGGAATCTACTTAAATCTTGATAGAAAGTGCACTATGAATTTTGCCATCAGGAGAACTTAACCCATAAGGAGGATAGTATCTATTTTTAAAAAATATTTATTTATGCATACAGAACTGGGGTACAGGCCAGAGGTACAAGGGCAGTGAGAGGATTCACCAGAGACAGACTGGGGAGCAAAACTGACAGATCTACTGAAATACACTGCTGAGGAGAGCAGCAGGCCGGTTAGGAGAGGTCTGCGCCATGTCGGTCACCTCCAGGGCAGGGATCAAACTGAAGCAGCTAAGACTAGCTTGCAGTGCTGCTTCCGAACCCCGTTGGGCCACCAGGGAGAGCCATATATAAATTTTCTTTGAAGATAATTAATGCCTGTTACTATCATGAAAACATTCATTAATCTTTTGTCTGTAATCCTGAATTGTATTCTAACCAATAGGTTTAGGAAGGCTGTGCTAGTAGTGAATGAAGTCTATCAGTCAACTTCCTCAGCCTTTTGCCAAAGATTAGGAATTTGTTTACCTAAGTCATTTTGATGGTGAGTTTCATCCAAAGATTGACTTGCCCCTCACCAGCAAGCACATGAATTAGTTGATGTAGGTAAGAAAAAGCAAATCTGTAAGTTTGCATTATGATGTTGAAATCTTCAGCAAAGTTATGAGGGTGATCAGGTACTTTAGGAAACTTGTAACTGTTATCTGCAATTCAGCTTTAGACATAAGAGATCTGAAGTTTAAGAGATCTGAAATGGCAGTTTGTAATGAGTTCAGAGGATGAAGGCTCAGAACAAATCTCAGCATATAAGGTTAGTTCTGTGAAAGAAGTAGGCTGTGAAGGCAAAGATTCTGGAAGGGTAGCAGGTTGTCCAGAAAGGAGGGGCTGCGGTGGCTCTAGGGGTGGGCCTGAGCACAAATAAAGAAACTGAAGCTGATGGAGGATTAGAAAAGAAAGGCCGGGGCCCTCCCTGGTGGCTCAGCGGGTTAAAGCACAGCCCAGCCAAGCTGGCCAGCGTGCTTCCGTGAGCATTCAATCCCCACCCCGAAGGTGACCCACATGGCGCAGCAGACCTCTTCCTGTCTCGCTTGCTGCTCCCCTCAGCAGTGTACTTGGTCAGTCTGCCTGTTCTGCTCCCCACTCTGACTATGGTGAATCCTCTCAATACCTCTGGCCTGTTACCCCAGTTCTGTATGCATAAATAAATAAATCTCAAAAAAAAAAAAAAAGGAATAGAAAGGCTGGAGGGGACACTATATGGCCATGAACCTTTTCATACAAAGAGGTAGGGGGTAGAAGGGAGTAGCATAAGCTATTAGTCAACTTATGAAAACCAAGACCCTCAAAGGTCTCAATGCCCAGACGAGGAGGCACAACACCCAGACAGGTGTCAAACTGTCTTTAGGGACTGTCATCTAAAGGTGAAGACATGGGGATTAAGGAACAAACCATTCACTCAAGAAGATGAGACCCTCCCGACCGATGGAAGATGATAAAACCCAGCACGGCCCCCACGGAGTGGCAGCAGTCTGTCTGGTCACCTGTGCCTATGCAGGCGCTTCTTTCCACCAGCTCTCTCCTTCTGCAGGGCAGCAGCCGCCTGCCTGCCCGCCTGTGACCTGCACCACGCAGGTGGGGGCTTTTCTCTGCTGTCCTCCCTCAGCAGAGGCAGCTTCCTTAACGCTGCCTGCCTGTGACCATGCAGGCCTCCCTCAGCAAACCTGTCCCTATCAGGGCAGCTCTTCCTGCCCACTTGTGTCTATACAAGTGTCTTTTACTCTAATATCCCTTCCCCTAATAAGTCTGCTCTTTTAAATATAACAAATGTCTCTGTTTTGTGGAGAATCTCGCATGTACTGCTGAAAGGGGAGCGTTGGAGAAATCTTTCCCAGAGTAAACCCAAGGACCTCACACTCAACCTACTGGCTCCAAAAATGACATCAAAGCCATGAGGTTAGGTGACTAAGGTCACAAAACTGATAACTGGTGGAATTGTCAAAAGGGCTAACCTAGCTCCATCTGATTCCAACCCTGCTGTTCTTTTTTTTTCTTTTTTTTTTTTTAAGATTTATTTATTTATGCATACAGAACTGGGGTACAGGCCAGAGATGCAGTGGTGGTGAGAGGATTCACTAGACACAGAGTAGGGAGCAGAACAGATGGAATGACAAAGTACACTGCTGAGGGGAGCAGCGGGCGGGTCAGGAGAGGTCTGCCCTGCCATGTGGTCACCTCCTGGGCAGGCAGGGATCTAACTCAATGTGAAGTGGCTTTAGCTTCTCAGTGCTTTGCTTTAACCTGCTGTGCCACCAGGGAGGGCCCCTGCTGTTCTTCTTTTATGCATCTGAAGCACTTCAAAAATATAAACTTTTAAACCCAAAATTGGCTTTATAAATTTGTTTGTATGGAAGTTTTAGGTAAAGCTTACAAATTTGTAGTTTTATAGAAAGTGCTAGTGGGTAAGGAACACACACTACTAAATTACAGATTTTGGTTTACCCCTTGACAGCTTGAGGACTTTTCTTAGTTCTGGTTCAGATTTTGGTTCACTTTAATTTAGCTTTGGAGGGATTTTTGTCTCTTAGGATACATTAGCAAAATCCTATTCCTTTGCTTTTTTAATCAACATCTGAAGATGTTCACATTTGTTTAAATAGGTGAAGCTGAGCCCAGACCTACATGTACAGATAATCTGATCAAAAAAGTGTGGAAGTAAAGAAATATGAAAAAAAATGAAGACCATAAAACTTACTGACTGAAAAACACTGTATTGTTCATACCAAGATTAAGAGTGTTTGGAGAAAGACTTTGTTCTGCTAAATCATGACAGAGGCAGAAGAACAGCAGCCATGGAAGTCAACCTTTTACTCAGAATTACCTAAAGTGGTAAGAATTCAATGTGGACTCTAGAGTGATTGCTAATTATAATGATATCTGTGTTGTTTCTTTTCCAAAAGCAGAGTAAATGTTATAGCTAGAATTTATGAACTTTTGAAGTTCTATGTCTCAATCCAAAGGCAGTTGACCTGGTACTTACTACAAACACCAAGTATTTGATATGAGCTATGAATATAGTGAATATTGCTAAGCTTTTACTGATTGTTTTCTTTTGTTTTAGGAACTTCATGCCCACTTGAATGGATCCATTAGTTCTAATACCATGAAGAAATTAATAGCCAAGAAGCCAGGTCTTAAAATCCATGGTGGAATGACTGTAATTGGCAACGAAAATAAAAGAACTTTCGATGAGTAAGTGTGGTGAGATTGTGGACATACTGCTATTTTCCTCAGTCACCATTTCTTTTTTTAAAGATTTATTTGTGCACACAAGAACTGGAATACAGGCCAGAGGTGCCAGGAGTGAGAGAATTCACCAGAGACAGAGTGGGGAGCAGAACAGGTGGATCTATTGAAACACACTGCTGAGGGCATGTGGGTCAGCTCCCTGGCTGGGAATAGAATCAAACCCATGATGTGGTGGCTGCAGATAGCTTCATAGTGTTGTGCTTTAACCCGTTGTGCCACCAGGGAGGACCTCTCAGTTACTATTTGAAGCTGAAAACAGTATAAAAAGAATTCACATTTTGGTAGTTAAAGGTATAAAGCAGCCCACTTGTAGGGGAGCCTATATCTTGATGTAGAGCTTAGGCCAAAGATTAGACTTTTGGCAGTATTTTTAGTCAGTCACGTTGTTTGGCAAGTTTTACTATATTTGAATATTCTTTAGATTGAAAATGCAGGTTTATTGATTCTTTTTTCCCTAATTGCTGTTATCAGCAGAGTAAGTGGAAAAGAAAAACAATTATTTCCCACTTAAAAACATCAGTTATTATTATTTTTGCAACCATTTACTTAGCCCTTCTATATGAATGTAATTTTTGAAATGCCTATTGTAGTTCTCTAGAAATATATAGTTACTATTAGTTTAAAAGTTATTAATTCAGCTTAAGGAGTTTATCTTGAATGACAAGATTTTGGTGACTTAAGTATGTCAGCACTTCATTTGTGTTACAGGTGTTTCCATATGTTTCCAGTTATTCATCAGCTTACTACTGGCCCTGAAGATATTCTAATGGTAAGAAATTAGTCAATTTTTATACTGTTTTAAAAATTAAGGTATTCATGCCCTTCTTTTGTTGCATGTGACCTTTTGTATTCATCAAGTGTCTGATGAAAATGTTTCCCTTTTTTATGGCAACTTTTTTGAAAACCAGCATTACAATTGCCTGATTTCTAATATCAAATGACTTCTATAAGATTGGAGGGAAGGACCAAGATCAATATCTTCTATTAGATTGAGCACAGTACGAAGGAGAAAAATATGGTCCTGTTTTCCTTATAAAATATGACATAATAAATATTTGACCACAAATGAATCTTTAATAAGGCTTTATCAGTATTTCTTGGGAGACTTTTAATTGCTTGGGTGGAAGTTATAATGCATGAAGAAACTCAAAAGTACGTAGCGATTGAATGATCAACCCCCTCGGGGAATTATGCTTATCTTCTGATGATGAAAGGCTAGAGAACACCCCTATGTTCTCTTATTTGATGGAACATGATACTAGAGCCTAATATGGAAGACTCATTCTGTACCATTGATGGAACCAGGATGACATTTAAAGTGTTCTCTTCGTTAGTGGAGAAAGGCAAAATCCTATCAGTGTTCAGAAGAAATGTAAAGTAGAAAGTATCACCTGTGTTGCCAGAGAGCTAACTTTTGACTGATCAGGAAGGAATTTTTCTCCTTGGTGGAGACTGATAGTCATGATAAGCATTTAAGTAAATCGGTCACCTTTTGGAGGAGATTTAAAAGTTCAACAAAAGTTACCTGAGTTCTCACAGTGTTCCAGGCACTGTGCTAAAAACTAGAAGCTATAAAAAGGTAGATTGACATGGTCCCTTCTCCTGAGGAATTTGTAGCCAGTCAGGAGAGATAGACTGATAAGCAGAAAAAACCAACACAATATGTTTAGCTCTATGTTAGCTATATGCACAGACATCTATGGAAGCATAAAGAAACATTGTCTATTCAGCCACCCACCAGACACCATTGTATACTGCAAGTGTCCACCACTAGGACTCTGGTGTCTCTTTTGTTGATTGTCATAGACTAAACTGATAAAATTTTAGATTTTATAGCTCAATACTCTATGGGTACAAGTATGCCATTATCTTTCACCTTTTGAAAATGGTGAAAAGCTCCACTAAAGTGTTATGAAGAGCTATATATTCAATATATTTGACTTAGTGCTGCTGGGATGAACACCTGCAGGTGCTTCAGATGATAGTGAGTTGCCTCAGAGAGTGAAATTAATAATATTTACATAGAAAAGATGAACCATCTGTTGGAATAAGCCAAGAGATAGATAGGTGCTTTTTTTTTTTTGGTTGGTGGTTTGTTAGGACCACTTTCTGAGGTGAGTATTTTTATTCTCATTTTGCTGACAAAACAAACAAAACAAAAAAACAACAAAACACCTGAGGCTTAAAAAGGTTAGGTGTAATTTTTTTCAAGGTTACTCACAGGGAGTAAATGGAAGACTTAACTATCTCCCTCTAGTTCCTGAGCTTGTTTTTTTTTCTCATTTGAGACTCACGGTTTGTAGTCTTAACCATATCTCAAGTAAGCAAAAACTTAATGAATTGTGATGTACTCTATCTAAAAAAAGAACTTAAATAGTTGTCCTCAATCCAGAGCACAGGAGAGGAAACCCCAAAGAGCAATGGTTACCCCAGTACCTGTTCCTGAATGGAGCAGAAGGGGCTGAATTTGGCAAACACAAATGTGAACCACAGGGAAATGAGCTTGGACATGGACTATGCATAATTCTACAAGTCGCACTTGGTCCTAGAGAAATACTCCTCAAGTGGCTCTCATTCCATACTTGCCAGCAAGTACCTCACCACCAGGAAGGGGGGATCGCCAGTATTGTTGATGCGATCACTTCAGTCACCGAGTAGGGCTACCTATTTACACCCTCACTTTGACCCATATGCACACATTAATAAATTGGTCTCTGCATTTGTCTCTTGTGAGCTGAATAGAATGAGTTAGTCTCTTTGGGTCTCCTTATTTCAGGGCCCTTCTGCTCCATGCAGAAACAGGTACTGCGTAACTATTGCTCTTTGGGCTTTCTTCTCCTGTGCTCTGGACTGAAGACAAGTTCTTTTTTTAGATAGAGTATATCACAATTCATTAAGTTTTTGCCTACTTGAGATATGGTTAAGACTACAAACCGTGAATCTCAAATGAGAAAAAAATAAGCTCTGGAACTAGAGGGAGATAAAGTTAAGTCTTCCATTTACTCTCTGTGAGTCACCTTGAATCCAAGTTGTTCAGCCTACAAGGACAAGGCTTATGCTCTGGTGGTTGCAGTACAGGCTATGGAGGCCAGTGCTCTGGATAATGGCACAGAGGTTCGTGCTCACCATTGCAGGAAGCAGTGATGTCTTGCTTGATGCAGTGATGTCACATAATTTTGAATATGGTTTTATTGTCCTGAGCTGTGTAGTCTCTGAGACTGACTCCCCAGAACTCCTGGTGAATCAGCCGCCCATAGCATTTATGTTATAATAAAGTGCATGTTTAAGTAGTTGGGTGTTTTTTAAAAAGATTTCTTTATTTGTGTATACAAGAACTGGGTTGTAGGCCAGAGGTGTGGGGGTGAGAGGCTTCACCAGAGATAGAGTGAGGAGCAGAACAGGCAGACTGATGAAGCACACTGCTGAGGCGGGTCCGGAGGGGTCTGCTGGGCCATGTGGGTCACCTCCCTGGCTGGGGTTTGAACTTGTGCCGCAGTGGCTGTGGATAACTTATAGTGTGCCACCCTAGAATTAGTTTTTTGTTTTTGTTTTTTTTTTTAAGAAAAGAAAGAGATGAGACCATACATTGCATTGCAGTGACTCCACTGAGGTAGTGTCACCCTGTTAGACCTTGTCGGCATTACTGGCCAACTGTGTTCCTTTGCCAGGACACTGCATTTGCCTGCCCATATGCATCTGTTCACACCAGGGTGAAATTGGAATGCCATCTGCATCTACAATGACAGCTTATCACAGATCCAACTTGGTCCTTTCTCTTCTATATTTGGTATTTTTTTAGGATTAATGATAGAGAAGAAAAACAAGGTGGTCTTCCAACTTGACATATCTATCATTTGCCTAGTCATTTGATAATTTTTGGATTGTCAAGATTTGTACTGAATTGAGTATAATTTTAGTCATATTACCACCCATTTTCTTTGGGTAGTAATATTTTCTTTGCTTAAGAGGAATTTTTCTAAGTAGTTATGGGTGAAATTTTTTTTTTTTAATATTTATTTATTTGTACATACAGAACTGGGGTACAGGCCAGAGACTCAGGGGCAGTGAGAGACTTCACCAGAGACAGAGTGGGGAGCAGAACAGGCAGATCAACGAAGTACACTGCTGAGGGGAGCAGTGGGCGGGTCAGGAGAGGTCTGCCACGCCATGTGGTCTCCTCCGGGGCAGGCGGGAATCGAACTCATGCGGAAGTGGCTTTAGCTTCTCAGTGCAGTGCTTTAACCCGCTGCGCCACCAGGGAGGGCCAGTTATGGGTGAAATTTAATCCCACCTGAAGAACTTCTTGAAAAATAGAATTTATTCCTAAATAATTGAATAGGAGCCTTCAGCCATAACTTTAAATAGTATTAGTAATGCCTAACTATTTTATCTGCATATTTTCATGTGTAGCTTTCTAGCACTCACACTCATAGATGGTTTCAATTTTGCTACTTTTTGTTTTCATCCATCTGTTGTTAAGAACACCATAAAATAGATTAAAGGAGAGAAAAGAAACAAAAGGCATGGATGTTGTGTAGATTTGGATTAATTCAGGAGTGGGAAGGATGGGAGCTATTGCAAATACTGCATTTCTGTCATGGTCTCCATAATGGATGTGTCCAAGTGGGTTATCCTTACCATAAGGAAGAGTTAAATGAAATAAAGTGGTTACGTTTGGCACTTGGGTCCCTTACACTAACATTGTCAGTATTATACATTGCCTTTATCGTCAGGTCACAAAAGATGTCATTAAAGAATTTGCAGATGATGGAGTCAAGTACCTGGAACTAAGGAGCACACCCAGAACAGAACATGCCACAGGTAGGATTTAATTACTTCTCAGCAAATGTACGCCTCCTTTCATGTGTGCTTTGATCACTCATGTGTTTGCAAGTTAAGATTATGAAGTACTTACCTTTACACTATTGTAAAAATAGAACTAGCTGTCCAAGTCTTCTGGTGGATATTAATCATGTACTTTATTATAAAATCAGGTCAGGTGTTATTTATTTAAGAGAAATAAAAAGACCTATATAAAAGCTTATTCTTGTTTGTTTTTCTCACTCTCAGAAAAAGACCCTTGCTTCTTATAGTTGCATTGTTTTAAACAGAAGCTAATTTTTGTTCTTTGCTTCATGAAGTTTGGTGACAATCACTGACATAAAGAGTTACTCAGTCATTCCTCGTAGACCAGTAGTTTCTTAGGCTAGCAGCAAGCTGCAATCTGATTAAACCTCTCTGGATAGAATCTGGATGTGGTCTAGAGAAATTTCCTTTTCTAATAAGAGCAGTAACAGGCAAGAGCATGTAGTGATCAATCTTAGATCCTTGTCTGTGACCCAGAGAGGCCTGGCAGGTCATCTTACACCCTGACATGTGTAGCCCAGTCATCATTTGGGAGTAAAATTCTTGAAATTATATACAGTAAATGTAGAAATAGGACAAGTGGAAGATTTTTTTTTTAAAGATTTATTTATTTATGATTACAGAACTGGGTACAGGCCAGAGAGGTACAGGGGCAGTGAGAGGATTCACCAGAGTGGGGAGCAGAACAGGCAGACTGACAAAGTACACTGCTGAGGGGAGCAGCGGGTGGGTCAGGAGAGGTCTGCCAGCCATGGGGGTCATCTTACTAGTCGGGGATCAAACTCATGCTAAAGGGGCTATGGCTGGCTTCACAGTGCTGTGCTTTAACCTGTTGTGCCACCAGCGAGGTCCCACAAGTAGATTTTATCTCACATTTTTAAACTCCAAAATCAGTTCCAACTAATGCCAGTAAGGCCAATGAAAGGAAAGAAGAGACAAAATCTGTCAATTATTAGAGCTGGTTTGCTCTTCAAATGGAGATACAAAAGGCATGATAACCAAGAATGTAATAGTAACGGAACAATTAAATAAAGATTGGAAGAATATTAAAAATATTTGCAAAGATACTTTAATGGCATTGGGGATATGCTCAGAACAGTGTTACATAAATGACTATATGTTTACAATATGCACATGCCTAGTGGCATCTCATCTATTAAATTTTATATGTATTTATACATACACTTAGGAAAGCAGAGAATGATATCTCTAAGTTGTAGGATTATAGATTATTTTAATTTTTCTTTGTTTTACTAGAGATTTTCTACCCAAAGTAAGAACTTAGTAATTGGGGTACAAGAGTATTTTAAAGAAACTGGTTCTGGATAATTGTTTTTCAGAGCCACAGAAGAGAAGTTGAGCCCTGAGCCTTGAAAGAACATTATAGTGCCCGAGAAAAGACTGAATATAAATGTGAAGCACTGAGGTTGAGTGGGGTTAAAGAAAAAGCAACCCAAAAGAGGATTTTCTTTTTCTGAACAAATAGAGCATTTTGCCTGTAGAGGGAAAAGGTGGAGAGGGGACTTTTTTTTTTTTTTTTTAAGGATATGCCTTAGAATAGGGATTGTTCTTATTTTACTACAATGAGCATTTAAAATTTTATAGCAATTTAAGACTATACTTTCAGGGATCATTTCTATAGTTCATTACTAGAGAAGATTCTCTGATCGTGTAGAGCACCGGAACTCGTAATAAGGGAGATGCAAATTAAAACCACAATGAGATACCACCTCACCCCAGTGAGAATGGCACATCTTAAAACAACTAGCAACAACAAATGTTGTCAAGGATGTGGAGAAAAAGGAACTCTCCTTCACTGCTGGTGGGGATGCAAAGTAGTACAACCACTGTGGAAAACTATTTGGAGGTTACTCAAACTGCTAAACATGGAGCTTCCCTACAACCCAGCAATCCCACTCCTAGGTATCTACCCAAAAGACACAAAAACAATTGAAAAAGATACCTGCACCCCCATGTTTATTGCTGCTTTATTTACAATTGGAAAAACATGGAAGCAGCCCAAATGCCCAAAAGTAGATGACTGGATAAAAAAGATGTGGTACATATATACAATGGAATATTACTCAGCAACCAAAAAAGAGAAACACATGTCTTTTGCAGCAACTTGGATGGAGCTGGTAAAGATCATGCTTAGTGAGATAAGCCAGAAAGAGAAAGAAAAATACCGGATGGTTTCACTCATAGCAGGAGTATAATGGACCAGTCAAGAAAATAACAAGAATAATGAACAACCATATACCAGAGACATTTTGAGGGGGTGGAGTGGGGAATGGGATCAAAAATGGGGGAGTGGGGAGGGAAGTGCACAGGATTATGGTGATGGCACACGGGTGACATGGTGATGGGAAACCCACGGGGATTACAATTGAGATGGGGAAAAAAATGTACAAAATGATGTAAAAATAAACTGTTATAAAATAAAAAAAATATATAGCAACTTGTGAGTAATTTTATGCCTGCTGTTTTAAGATTTTAAATGGACTTGTAGTTGTCTTTTTTTAAAAATTTTTTCTAGTCCTTCATTTTTTTCAATTTATTAAAATCTAGTTAGCATTTACTAAAAATGTATCCATAAAAGCCATGTTTTAACTCCTTATAACATGCCCTTATTATAAAGTAAAAATGTAGTTGTTTATACTATTACTGGATGAATAGTTGATGATCTCTTTATATGTATTTTTTCTGTGTGTCCCTTCTAGGAATGACTAAAAAGACTTATATAGAATCTGTCCTTGAGGGCATAAGACAATCCAAAGAAGAAAACTTAGACATTGATGTTAGGTAAGATTTGTATGGCCCTTACTGCCATGGCCTGAGTTCAATCCCCAGCCAGAAAACTAACCCACATATGGTGCAGCAGACCTCTCCTTTCTCACCTGCTGTTCCCCTTAGCCAAATCTGCCTATTCTGCTCCCCACTCTGTCTCTGGTGACTTTTCTCAGCCCCTGAACTTCTGATCCATGCCCCAGTTCCTCTATACAAAAATAAATAAATAAATATTTTAAAAGAAAAGAAAAGAAGCTTAGTAGTCACCTTAGTAGAATGTGAAATTATACTGTTCTTGAGATATATCAACTTTATCATGTCATAAAGAAAAAGTTGATGTTTTAAAATTTTTTTAATTTATGTTTTTTATAATTTATATATATTTTCCATCATTGTTCTTTTTTTAAAAAAGATTATTTATGCATACAAGAACTGGGGTACAGGCCAGGGGTATGAGGGGGAGAGAGCATTCACCAGAGACAAAGCCGAGGGCAGAACAGACAGATCTATGGAAATACACTGCTGAGGAGAGCAGTGAATAGGAGAGGGCTGCTGTATCAAACTCATGCTGTAGTGGTTTCAGACAGCTTCATAGTGCTGCCTCTTAACCCTTTTTACCACCAGGGATCATGAAAAATATATATAAATTATAAAAAATATAAATTAAAATTTTAAAACATCAACTTTTTCTTTATGACATGATAAAGTTGATATATCCCAAGAACAGTATAATTTCACATTCTACTAAGGTGACTACTAAGCTTCTTATCTTTTCTTTTAAAATGATCATTGATCATTTTTGTACAGTGTTTGCTTGCTTTTCTCAGGTGTAATCCCCATAAAATTTCTACCACCATTTATTCATGCATTATCTTCATAGTCCCTTGTGCTCTTCTGCCCTTGTTTCGATCCCTTTCCTACCCCTCGCAGAATGTCTCTTCTTTATAGTTGTCTTTTTATTTTTGTTTATTCCTTGATCCCCTGTATTCCTCCTATAAGTGAAACCATCTGGTATGTTTACTTTTTCCTTCTGACTTATTTCACTGAGCATAATCCCTTCACACTCCATCCATGTTGCTGTGAATAACATTAGTTTATCTTTTGGATTGCTGAATAGTACTCCATTGTGTAGATATACCACATCTTCTTGATCCAGTTGTTTATTTTTGGGCATTTGTGTTAATTCCATAGCTTGTCTATTACAAATAGTGCTGCAATTAACAGGGGTGCGTGTATTATTTTGTATTACTGTTTTTGTGTCCTTTGGGTAGATCCCTCAAAATGAAATTTCTGGGGCATATGGTAGCTCCATTTTTAGTAGATTTAGGAATCGCTGTACAGCTTTCCATAGTGTTTGGATCTGCTTGCATTCCCATCAGCAATGTAGGAGAGTTCCTTGTTTGCCACATCCTCGCCAACATTTGTTGTTGCTAGTTTTTTTTAATATGTGCCATTCTTACTGATATAAGGTGGTAGGTAGCTCATTGTGGTTTTGATTTGCATTTCCCTGTTTATAAGGGATGTTTAACATTTTTTCATATGCCTGTTGGCTGTTTGCAGTTCCTGTTTGGAGAAATGTCATTTAAATTCTTCTGCCCATTTTATGACTGGATTGTTTAATTTGTTTTATTGAGTCCTGTGAGTTCTTTGTGTATCTTTGTGACCAGTCCCTTATCAGTTATATGGTGTGCAAAAATTTTCTCCCAGTCAGTGGGGTGTCTCTTTGTTTTAGTTAAAGTCTCTTTTGCTATGCAGGAGCTCTTTAATTAATTTAATTTTCTTCAATTTCTTTACTTTAGGTGATGTGTCTTTAAAGGTGTTACTGAGATGTATACCATGTAGTGTGTTGCCTGTATTTTCTTCTATTTATTTTATGGTTTCAAGTCTTATATCTCATTCTTGATCCATTTTGAGTTGGTTTTTGTACATGGTGTGAGGTCTAGCTTCAGTCTTTTTCATGTACCAGTCCAGTGTTTCTAGTACCATTTATTGCTAGACTTGTTCCATTGCAAATTCATTGCTCCTTTGTCAAAGATTAGTTGTCCATAAATCTGTGAGTTCATTTTTGGGTTTTCTAGTCCATTCCATTGGTCTGTGTGGCTGCTTTTGTTCCAGTACCATACTATTTAATTATTATGACTATGTGGTATAGGTGAAGTCTGGATTGTGATCCCTCCATTCCCCTTCTTTTTAGTCAGGAGAGCTTTGGTATTTGAGGTTTTTGTATCTCCATATGAATTTCATCAATATTTGTTCTATTTCTTTGAAGAATGTCATTAAAATTATTATTGGGGCCCTCCCTGGTGGCGCAGTGGGTTAAAGCACTGCACTGAGAATCTAAAGCCGCTTCCGCATGAGTTCGATTCCCACCTGCCCCGGAGGTGACCACATGGTGTGGCAGACCTCTCCTGACCCGCCCGCTGCTCCCCTCAGCAGTGTACTTCAT